TTGTAAAAAAAATTGTTTCTTATGGATGAGCCAAGAAAGTGGTTTCTTGAGATAGAATCTACCCCTGGTAAAGATGCTGGGAACATTGTTGAAATGACAACCAAAGATTTAGAATATTGGGTCTGCTTAGCTGGTCGGGCAGTGGCAAGATTTGAAAGAACTGACTCCAATTTTGAAAGAAGCTCTACTATGGCTAAAATGCTATCAAATAGCATCACATGCTGTAGAGAAATCTTTGTTAAAGGAAAAGTCAATTGATGTGACAAATTTCATTATTGTCTTATTTTAAAAAGTTGCCACAGCCACCTTAACCTTTAGCAACCACCACTTTTATTAGTCATTAGCCATCAACATCGCGGCAAGATATTCCCCCAGCAACTTACTGAAGACTCAAATGATCATTAGCAGCTTTTAGCAATAACTTTTTTAAAATTAAGATATATATTAGACATAATGCTATTGCAAACTTAGTAGACTACAGCGTAGTGTGAACATAACTTTTATTTACACTAGGAAAAGAAAATGTGTGTGACTCACTTTATTGAGATATTTGATTTACTGCAGTGGTCTGGAACTGAACCTACAATATCTCTAAGATATGTCTATATAAGGAGAAAGGGGCAAAGGATTTGAGAATTTATTGAGCATGATCTCAATAATGGGCCTTGGAATATAAGCTTTCCTCCTTCCTCCTGCAAGTGTTTAATGATAGCCTGTGAAACATGCGAATTTTGGGGATGGAGAAATTAACAGACATGTTTCCTGCTCTGAGAAAAGAAATTATATTATCGTCCATTATTTCCCAAACTGTAGTCATTCAAATGTCCCATCGTATTTTTGTTATGTCTTTGTGCTCTCTATATTATCATAGAGTATTTTTTAAAATTACATATACTTTTATGTCTTAATAAACTTATTTGAAAAGGCATTATTTTTGGTCTCAATGAAAAGCGAGTCTCATTTGCCACAAATAGAAGGTAATTATTAAACCCAACACAATTAAAACAGTATATATAACTAAATTCAGCCCAGCTACTTTATTTGCTGAAGGCTCCAAGCCTAGATTTGCAGTCTGCTTGATAAAAAAAGGAGACTATTAAGTGTAAAAGAGTTGTCAAGGGCATACCAGCACAAAACTTAGCCCTTCTCCAGTCATTAGAAGGATTGAAGGGAAGGCAAAGGAGAATTTTTTCCACTTATCCTTAACCGTTATGAAGTGCACCATAGAGTACAATGTAAAAGCAACTCTCATCTCTCTAGTGATGCACACCCTATGTTTAAAGAAATACATATCCAGTAGGAAGACAGCCATACAAACAAACAAGTACAATATATGTGGTAACGATGAGCAACAGATTCCAGTTAGAGCATGGATTGTAAAGAGCCTTGAAAGCCATAGTAAATGAGTTCATCTTTCATTAAAAAAATAAAGTTTAGAAATCAAGAGATGACTTGAGGATGAGTGTTCAGAGAATTGTGTTATTGTTGAGTTAGAAACTAAATCAGTGAGAGTCAGACTCCATAGAAAGTATGCCGCATGGTGATGGATTATCCATTCGGTTGGACTACAGATGGCCATAGAAGGTTCCACCATCAGAATGGAGTTAGTATCATTCTCTTACACTGGGGCTTGTTTGGCACATGAACTTCACCTCCTCTCTCTTTTTTTTTTTTAATTAACTTTCCATTCTGTGCTAGAGAAAAGAACTGTGAAGGCAGAGATGCCAGTTAAGAGAGGAAGTTACCCAGGTTGGAACCTATAATGCCTAAAATATGTTAGCAGAAGTTGAAATGGGAAGACAGAGTTGGAGATAAAAGGCATTTGACTGTAGTACCTGTAGGGGTTAGCAATAGATGGATTAGGGCAAATATGTGAGAGGATGAATGATTCTAAGACGACAAAGTAGTTCGCTGATATTTAAGAGTATGTGAAATGTGAATTACAATTTAAGAGACTAGTGTTGTCAAACTTTGTGAACTATTTTAGCTGGAAATAGGCTTTTCTGGCTTATTTTCTGCTTCTTACCCTTGAAGTTGCAGACAAATGAAGTTGTCAAATATAAAACTTTCTTATTTATAAGGCATGTCTGAACTATGAATTAAACATTAGAACATAAATGAAATTACTTTTTATTTAAACATTAGATTTTTAATAAAGGCTTAGCCTGAAATTTGGCATGAGAAGGGTCCATGAGGTGGTAAACCCCATGAAGACTGCAATAATACCTGTTTTTCAATAAATAGCTATTTAATAAATGAAAACATTCTAAATCTTGCTATGTCAGTTTTTTACTTGATCAAATTACTTTGTTTATTTTTTCATTAAAAGTATTCATTGTGAACTACTTTCTGCCAGGCAACATGCTTTATAATCAAACAAAAACATTGTCAGTTTTCACAGATCCTTCTAGAGGATGAGATAAACTATAATAAAACAACCACACAAATAATTTTTAAATAGCAAATGTAATTGCATGCTACTAAGGCAGCCATGAGTTGTTAGGAGAACATGAATACATTCATTTACTAATTCAATAGTTATTTGTTGAACCCTAATGTGTAATAGGCACTAGCAATATATACATATACATATAAGGTTGGTGCAAAAGTAATTGTAGTGTTTGCAATAAAAAGTAATGGCCAAAACCGCAATTACTTTTGCACCAATCTAATACACATATACACACACACAAACACACAGTCACACACAGATATGTATATTAGCTCATGCAACAGTGATATATTAACTTTTGGTAAATAGGAAAAGGGATAGGAGTGCAAAGGAGGTCATGATTTTAGATATAGCAGCCTGGAAAGGAAGAATTCAGTGGGAAGGTAACTTGAGTAAGTACGTGAAAGAAGCCATCTATTTAGGCTTTCTCTCTCCACCATCTCAATGCATAACACTTTACAGAAACCAGGGTTGTTGTGATGATTAAATGAGACGACATAAGGGAAACCATCTAAACTAGGACCTGGAGTCAATACCTAATTGAATGAATCTGTTCCCTGGATTCAGAAGAGGTGCTGAAATGTGGTCCATGTACGCCTACATATTCTCTTCCTTGTTCCACCCAGCTTCTAAAACAAATAAATCAGCCTTCCCAGCTCATTCTTAATGTGATAAGTTTTATTTGTGTGGAACTAATACATTTTGTAGTTAGGCTTGCTCCTGTTCATTCAGCTCTTTTAACTCTACAGTGCTGCAGAAGCCAGACTTGCTATATACTCTTGTTTGCTCTACACATTGCTTGAGGAGTATAGAAAAGTAACACAAATAACATTCAGTGGCAGTTCTAGGTCAGAATGCAAAACACCCTGGACAAATTTCCTTGTGTGGGTTACAGTGTCTGTAGCTAATTGTAGCAGATTGGATAGCACTCAGTTTCTGGGGCAACTTTGGTAGGATGCATACCCTTTTTAAATCTCAGTCTTCTCAGCCACAAAACAAAAAGAAAGCTAACCTTTTCTGACCCCTTCAAAATGTAAAGAGAGGGAAATAAGTTAATGTTTGGAAAGGCCTGCGTGACCCTTGAAGCCAAGACATTATCAAAGTACAAAGTAAATTACAAGAGCTGTTTGCTATCCCATTAGTAACTCAAATAGTACAAGAGGCTCCTCCTGTCAAATCCAAGTTAGGCTTGTAGTGTGCACTCGCTTTGTTCATGAGGACAAAAATGGAAACACAAGAGTTGGAAACTCTCATTGGACTCATTTTTAGAAAGGTTTTGCAGTAGAAATCCTTATGAGCACAGACAGGTTCTCTTTCACAGGTGCATTTAGCCCCAGTCCCTTCACTGAGCCCTTGGAGCCCGGAAATAAGGTAAGGTTTGGAGCTTGGAACCCAGAGACAAGATTTGAGGACTTTTGTGACTGTAGTCAAGTTTCTTAGCATCACCAATACTCTATCTCTGGATATGTAAAATGAGAATCATCATCACCAGTATCATAATTACTTTTTGGTTATGCTGTCTCTTTAACATAATTAAACAGCTAAAATATATGGACTGTTAACTCTTACCATGTTAATCACTCTATTATACTATCTCCTTAAATCCCCACAAAACTTTATGAGATGTGGTTTATTATTATCCTTAATTTTCACACAAAAAAATGAGGCAGTGAAAGGTTGAATATATTACCCCTATTAAGAGCTCTCAAAGGCGGGGAGCCTGAGATTCCGTTCTCCGCAAATCTGCTGAGCCCAGACTGAAAAATGAAGTCCTACCTCTCTGAGCTCCATTTGTCTTCATATACACTAGAACTGGCATGGAGTGCCCAGTGTTACCCATCTATGGAGCAGAGATGCTTTTTGATTTGTAAAGCATTATTAAAATGATCCTATGCCATGGTCACATTTCCACAGGACAAATGTGTCCATCAAACCTTCCTGCAGGACAACAAGCATTGAGGCATTTATTGCATCTGCCTGTCTAGCACTGGATGGCTGTAAAAATAAATCCATTCTAGCTAAGATGAGAAGAGTGAGGGCTGGTGCATGGCTGTCCTGAGCCCATACTTCGATTTAGTCTCTTTTCAACCTGTTATCCTACAGTGTTAAACCAAATAGTATCTATTATAATCTGCAATTTAATTCCCTAGTATAATCACATACTTATGAGGGATAGATATTTGGGATAGGGGTGTGAGAGAGGGAGGGGTGGCAAAAAGCAAATAGAAGTACAAAACATTTGGCTTCTGATAGAACATTTTTAGCAGTCTTCAAATGTCTTTTATACATGAATCATCATTTAGATGAAAATTGGATCTCACACCAAGTTAGACAGCAATTGTTGTGAATTAGGTGGAATGGAGAGCTAATATTTCTTCCATTCCTAGTTGCTTGGAAGAAAAGACAAAATTTGACTGTATGTTTATGAGGCAGAGAGAGAGGCCATTATTTGAGAACTGACATTTAAATGAACAACTCGATTTTTGCCAGACTTTGATATTTAATCTTTTTGGGATAGGAGAGAAAAGGGAAGAAAATGTTGACTCACCTAGTATTTGCTGATGTCTCAAAGGATTGTGGTGGGTAGGAATAGGATAAGAGGACGGACAAAGTGGGAACTAACCATCCAGGTCATTAGAAGTCGTAGATACACTAAGGATCCTGTTGGTCTTTTAATTCCAACGCATCTTCTGCAACAATATTCAAACTATGCCTAGGATAAAGAAAGTGGATTCGAAAACAATCAAAATAACATTCAGTTCACTGCAGAAACCTCTCAAATATATAAAATTGGGTATCACAAGATTGAAAACGCCAAAGAGATGTCTTTTTTTTTTTTTTTTCATATCAAGAGGTGATTAAACACCATTGTTAAGTGCTCTCCCAGCCTCAAAACTTAGACATTCTACTTTTACCTTTCACAAAGTGGTATCATATGAGCATTAAGCTCACACCAATTCAGCAACACTCAGTCTCAACCAGGACAAAACAATAAATTGTTCAGGTTATTTCTCCCATCACTCTACTAATTTGTATTTCAGTAATGTTCTGAATAGGGTGTCAAGTGCAGAAAGGGACATATCCTTTTCTGGAATTATAAAAAAGTAAAAAACTCTAGGGATGTTGAACCTACTCTCCTGGAAGGATATATGTCAGTCTACAAAGTGGCCTTGCACACCTTTGTAATCCATTTTCAAGATACTCTTAATTGTACATTTAAAAAAATATCCCATACTGACTTTAGGACTTTGTCCTTCGGGAAGATACAATTCTTCCATACCGCAATTAAACTGATATTCCAAAATGTGACAGATCATGTATCTCCCTAAATAATGCTTTCACGTTCAGTCATTCCACAAATATTTAATAGGCACCTACTATTTTTTACAGGTATTGGAAATACAGTGGTACATAAAATAGAAAATATTTCTTCTAGTGAGCTTTTACCCCAGCAGAGAAAAGCAGAAAATAAACAAATAAACACATATTAAGCAAGATGATCCCAGGTAATAGAAAACATTAAGGAGAAAACAAAACAGTGATGGAGAAATTGGTGAGTCAATTTAAGACAAAGCTGCAGGAAGCATCCCTTCTAAGAAGGGGATATTCATGCCGAGACATGATTGGCAAATGGTGGGAAGGAGTCAGCACAAGAGCCTCTGGGGTGGGGGAATCAGAGACATAAATTACTGCAAAGGCCTTGAGACAGGAAGGAACTTGGCTTTTTTGAGCCGCAGACAGAATATCAGCAGAGCTGGATCTTCAGAAGCATTAACTACTAGTAAGTTCTTTGTCAGCATAAAAAGCACAACTTGATCTGATACCACCTGACTTTCCAATTTCATCTCTCAACACTCTTTCTCTTTCACTCTCTCCCCTAGATTTGCTGAACTATTTGGAGACTTCTCATGTGTGTACTAGGCTGTTCATGTCTCCATTTATCAGTACACACTGTTATCCCTGCCTGAAATGTGCTTTTCTATTTTGTAACCTGGTGAATCCCACTCACTTTTGAAGATAAATCTTCCCTTTTATTCCTGTAGAATCACAGAGCGAAAATGATTAACTGCCCAAATTATCCAAAATTCTATCACCATCAAAGGGCTTTACTGCTTCTTTTAGAGCCTATATTCTAATTGAGTATTCTTTTTTAATGCTATACTTTGACTAATCATAGAATTTAGCATAACTTTTTAGGTCATAGACTCCAGAAAAAGCACATCTTTCTTATATCTAACACAAAAATATAGGTCAGCAGTCAGTACATTAATCAATTATTTCTCCTTCCCTTCCCTTCTTCCTTCCTTCCTTCTTTTCTTCCTTCCTTCCTTCTTCCTTCCTTCCTTGTTCCTTCCTTCCTCCTTCCTTCCTTCCTTTCTTCCTTCCTTCCTTCCTTCCTTCCTTCCTTCCTTCCTTTCTTCCCTCCTTTCTTCCTTCTCCTTTAGTTCATTTAACTAAATTTCTAGTTCATTTAACTAAATTTAGGTATAATATTTACTACCTCCCTTCTCCTCATCCCTTGCAGCCATGTTATTAGGCTCTGACTTGACAACACATGCTTCATCTACTCACCTTCACAAAGTCATGTTGTTACCATCCTCTCTCTTCACTAAATATGATCCTGGTGGTCTTGTGTTCTTCCTTCCCTTCCTATGCACCAAGAAGGGCCTTTACATTGTTAACCTCTAAAAGGGACTATTCCAGATCAGCCTGCTTCATGCAGCAACCCTCCCCGTGTTTTCTGTCATGTCACCACTTATTTCCTTCACAAGACTAATCAAAATATTTTGTTTTCTAGTTTATAGTTCACCTTTTACTTTAATATAAGTTCCTTGAGGACTGAAACCTTGGATGCTTTGTACATCGTTGTATCCCTAGTACTCAGCATAGCATTTGGCACATAGCAGATGTTCAGTATGTACCAAATGAGTAAGTGAGTGAATGAATAAATGAGCATGTACCTGAACACGTGTATCATGCCAAGATCTGTATTAGGTAATGGAAATTATTTTTTTTTTTCAAAATTGTGTTCAAATATATATATGTATATGTGTGTGTGTGTGTGTGTATATATATATATATATATACTTTTTAAAATTATTACTTCTTTTTTGATGGAGACTGGGGTCTCACTATGTTGCACAGCTGGCCTTAAATTCCTGGCCTCAAGTGATTCTCCCATCTTGGCCTCCAAAAGTGCTAGGATTATAGGTCTGAGACACTGTGCACCACCAATTTTTTGAAAAATTAAATCATGGCCTTTGCCTTTGAGTCACTTTTTCCTTCCTTGTAAATCTAGCCTTTCTTTCTTCTGTTCTCACACTTAAGAAAAATATTGTTTAGTACATGGAGTTAGAACCTTGTGATAATGTCCTACAAGAAAGGTCATTGGTTTCATCTGGATTTAAAAAAAAGTTACCTATGTCCTCAAAAGAGTCTCTAACCTTCAGCGTCATTTTGTAGTCTTTTGAATTTGATAATAAGATGGTGTGAATAGGTTAGATCAAGTATATCCCCTGATTAGCACTCATCACAGCGTACTGTGGTTAATGATTCACATACCTTCCTTACCAGACTGAGATATTCAGTGGCAAGCACTGCATCTTGTTTATTTTTGTTTCCAGTCTTCATCTAGTATCACCATAGGCATACTAAATTTTTCTAAGACAACAACCTAGGCATAAACTTAATTGTTTTTCAGAGCGTGTAGAAAGCTTTAGAGATTATGTTAGCTATCTGCTAACTTTTCAGATTTGAGAAATGATGGGAAGTATTGTGTTCAAAATAAATGGCAAAGATAAAACTGTGACTTGGGTCTATGATTCCACAACTTGAGTACTTCTTCCTTGTTCAAAGTCACATCTTTATCTGAGAGGAAGAAAAAACAAAAACACCATTCTTGGGAATCATTCTGGTTAATGGAAACTCTGCTCTCTTGGGGCAAGGCAGCAAACAACAAATTAAAAATAAATGCTGAGCTGGCATGAAGATGATGTTTCATCTAAAGATGACACAGACACATGCCAATGGGACAGCAAAGAAATTCTGTATCCTCTGAGATCATGATTAGCAACAAGGAGCTGTAAACTGTCACTAAATTCACCTGTTAGGTGATGCTGGAGAAAATCATTCCCTTCTGAAGACTGCACTGCTTTCAGTCACAATAAAGAATTAGACCTGAGAGTAACTTGGAGGCAGGCAGCATAGCCACTCTTTTTGCATCTTTACAACGAGAGGATTAACAATTTTCAAATAATTAGCATGATGGTTAATTTTGTGTTTAGTTGACTAAGCTAGAGAGTGCCCAGATAGCTAGCTAGACATTGTTTCTCGATGTGTCTGTGAGGATGTTTCTGGAAGAAATCACCATTTGAATCTGTAGCCTGAGTAAAGAAAATTGCTCTTCTCAATGTGGATGGGCATCATCCAATCTATTGCAGGTTGAATAGAACAAAAGGCAGAGGAACGGAAACTTCTCTCTCTTTGCCCAACTGAGCAAAGTGAGACATTGGACTTCTCCTTCCCTCAGATCAAGACTTGCACCAGTTGCGTTCCTGGTTCTCAGACTTTCAGACTTGAACTAGAACTTACCCCATCAGTTTTCCTGGTTCTCAAGAGTGGGTTGTGGACTCCAGAAGAAGATAAACTTTTCTCGTGCCTAACACGAGACATGAGGGTTTCTTGTGTCAACCCTTAATAAATTAATCAATCATTTCTCCTTCCTTCTTTGAAAATAAATAAACCACCAGCTTTCTGAGATCTCCAGCTTTCAAAGGGCACAATGTGGGGCTTCTCAGCCTCCATAATCATGCGAGCCAACTCCTTATAATCTCATTCTCTCTCTCAATACAGTCAGCCCTCCATATATGCAGGTTTTGCATCTGTGGATTTAACCAACTACAGATCAAAACCATTGATTATGGCGGGCCAAAAGTACTTATTTTTAATCCATGATTGGTTGAATCACAGACACAGAATCATGGATATTAAGGGCAATTGTGTATGCCATTTTACATAAGGGATTTGAGCATCCTCTAATTTTGTTTTTCGTGGGATGTCCTGGAACCAATTCCCCATGAGTTCAGAGAGCTGACCATATCTATCTATCTATCTATCTATCTATCTATCTATCTATCTATCTATCCATCCATCCATCCATCCATCCATCTATCTCCTATTAGTTCTGCTTTTTTTCTGGAGAACATTGACGAATACATAGCATTTTAAATTCTTGAATAGTTAGTAAGCCTTATAGGTGACGAATGTTAACTATGTTAACTGGAACACTCAATTTACTGGAATAATTCTATTTTCTAGATTATTGATAAAATCCTAATTTAATTTCCTTGATTTTCTTAATGTATTTGGGAAGCAAAGATGATAAGGGAATCCATGAAGAGTCAGGATCTCAATATTTGTTGAGCACTTTTGTTGGAGATGACTGCTTTCCAACAACAGTTCAATAGCCATAGTGGTCCTCATTGTTTATGTAGCATCTTGGGTAATCAGTTTCTTACCCAAACTTTAATGTCAGTTCCCTCTTGGTCTTATTAGTTTACTTTAGTGTTTCATCTGTCAGATTTCATCTATATCTAAATAGCCCATATTCTTGACCTTTTATCATCTGCTCTGCTAATGTACTCCTGGGCTATGCATGAAGCCCATTTGATGGTTTAACTGTGGTTTGCAAACAAAGGCCAG